TTCAACTAAAACTAAAATTCATGTTGTTTGCAATCACAATGTATGAAGACTAATTACTATGCAATTCCGGAGCGTACTATTGCAAAATTTACATCATAAAATCTGCATCCAATCAAAATGTAAAGCCATTTTGCTAATGGCGTTGATAGTTTTCTTGTTTCTACATCCCTGATTTAAAAATAGTTGAAGTCATTTCATTATTACTCATRTCCCTTTCATTGGTACACAAATTACTTAGTTTTTGCCATAACATTTCAGTCACATGGTTTACATGGGGAAATCATTGAAAATACTCGCAATTACGAGCAGAATACAATGAATTTATCAAAAACGATTGTGCTGTGGAAATTTTAGATGTGTGAGTGTAAATGCTAAGTTAAACATACCTGCATAGTTTTGAGATAAGTAGCTTCTTCATTTCGTCGAATTTTGTTGTAATGTGCAGTTTCATAATGTTCAAATTTCAGGGACCACTTGTAGGGTTATAAAAAATTTACAGTAGACACGGTAATGTTGTTCATTCGGAAATTGTAATTAAATTCCCCGGGTAAATGATATTTCAAAAAAATGTATTTTGCTAAGKTGGACTGTCCTTAACTGCAGACTATGACAAATATGAGATATGAAAGATCTTATGTCGAACAATTTATTAGAGCATTGCGATTTTTACAATGAATGGAGTTATATAACAAAGGATTTATCTCAAGTTTTGCATTTCTAACAAAAYTTCGTGTACGGAATCGAATTCACTATTAGCAAAAATACAATCCTACGAAGCCTTCAAGGARGGTCGAGAGATTTTTGAAGATATGCCTCGTTCTCGACGAACTTCGACCTCTTCAACTCATGAAAGTAATAAAAAAGTGAAAGATATCGTACTTGAAACACGTCCGTTAAATTTTGGAGAGATGAAAAGAAGGCTCGACTTCCCAGGCAATTCTATCAGAATGATTTTGGAGGATATGAATCACGTTCTTACTCGACTCGTTTCGATAATGCTGTTTTCAAAAGAAGTACCGTACATTACGCTTCAAAAGAATATAGTATAGTGAACGAAGTTATACCAAATTTTGAAATATTTCTAAAGCAAGTATTTTAGACTTGTGAATTAATAAAAAAATCATAATAGGCTTAACTTTATTATTGAATTTTGAAGTTAAGACAAAACCATCTAAATTTTAATATTACGACACTAAAACAAATATAACTTTAAATATAATTTAAATTTTGAAAAACTCTTTATGTAGAATTCTAGACTTTTGGGATATGAAAACTAAATTTAATTTTATTTTGAGACTAGTATACCACTTTAATCTACCAGTTGTAAATAGTCAAAATTAAATATGTTGTTATTGTCTCTGAGAACGAGTAAAGTAAAAATAGAATTTACATGATGGCACCCCTTTAACCACTTTTTTTTTTAATGCCAAAAACCATGTAATTTAAACCTAGTGTCAGCGAAATGAAAAAAGCAGAAATTTTTGCTAATTTAAATATGAAATCTGCTTTGTAATCCAATGACAAGTTGACATTTATAACTTTGGATTTCGATGAGCAATTTTTTTTTACCGCATTTTCATTTAAAAAAACTTTATCTAATGTGTTCAAATAAAATTTTAACTATTGTTGTTGTTTTTTCACTTTCAATTTTATGCTCTTCAATGTTTGATATCGAAATCACTTTCAGCATTCGCTCAAATTAGTTGTTAATCCAACTTGGTATCCCACACTATTAATCTATTAATGTCTATTTGAATTTTGGAAAAAGTAGATCTTATTATACATATATGTATGCATATCTATGTTCTATAAGTGGGATATCGATTTTAACAAGCTTCTCTCGAGGTGAATTTTTTCTTCAGACTAGACAGAAACAGGCTGTAACTACCAAACCTGGATTACAGGGTTAATACATAGAAATCTCCGCTTTTAGAGCATCTGAAGAGTCAACAACAAGAAGTAAAATTACAAGAGCTACGCTACCATGAGCAAAAATAGTATTTTTATTTTAAAATTCTTAAGGTTCCCCTTCAAAAGCATTGTTTTACAGACATTAAAGCGACGATCCCAATAAGCGTATTATCAAAAGATTAGTCAGAAATATATTTACAAAAAAAATATTCATATTCCTTACTCACCTTCGGTATTGTTATGTAGTGGTATGGGTTCGCCTCCTTCACGTCGCCATGTTATGGTAGGTGTTGGTGAACCAACTGCTGCACATTTCAGCGTTACATTCGCCCCCTCTTGCATCACTATATCCGTGCTGGTGGGATAATCAAGGATATCGGGTGGAACTGTGTTCGCGAAAAGCGAATACCGTAACAACACCGAAACAAATAAAGTATTAATGGACCAAGCAGTCAGAATTGTAATGTTGATGTTTTATTGTATAGCGTTGCATGTTGTCCAGTGAAGTCACCATGGTCGACGACATCATGATACAACATATGATTTAGACATGTCACGTGATTTTTATGAAGCACCAGCAGCAACAGCAGCGTTGAAATATTGTTTTTAGTCAGCGACAGCGAAAGTTGAAATTATTTCCAGTTTGCGTTTGTTATTATTGTGTTAGATAGAATAGCAGGAAAATTTTAATGACATTCGGATTTTCCACATAGACAGCAACCATCGTTTCATATATTCGTTGAGTGTTGTTTTTTGCATACGGAAAAAGCAAGAATTTTGCAATTTAAAAGAAGAAGAGAAAGGAATAAACGTTTTGTTTGTGAAATATTATATATAAATATGGTTAACATATATCTAAATTCTGTTCTTACTTAGTAAATACTGTGTTAACGTTGTCAACAATCTGGCAACATCGCTATCGTTAATAGTTACTTCTCGAGACTTTTTAGTCGAGGTTCTGAGTTGATAGTCACATATTTCTGAAATGGGAAAATCGGACCACAACCCTATCTACTTCTCACGTTATGCATTTTAGTTACATCGAAGTATTTCCTTGTCTTTGCAGATTATAAATGAAGCACATGTATAGTTATGGAAAATTCCTTAATGAAATAGCAGCTCTGAGGTAAGCCTGTAAAAATTGTCGAAATTGGAGTCTAATTCTTCAAGCCTCCAGATACCGATTGTGTGAACATTAGTGTATTTTCCTGAAATGTTATATATAGTACGTTAGTGAAGGTGCAAAATGTGGGACAAAAATGGCTGAAACAAGGTGGTAGTCGAAAAGTCTTTTCGCCCGAAACGGTGAGCAATGACACAATATACTTGTTTCGTAAGGAAACTTTGCTTTTATTAACACTACTTACAACATTGTTGGTTTCAACTATTTCAAAACCGATAGGAGGTAAGACATAAATTAGTAGAGCAAGCGTGTGTAGATTTGCAGCCCCTCGATACGTAGAACATGTGAAAAACATGGCGATAGATTAAAAGACTTGAACATGACATACGAGGCGTATACGTAACTTTTGAATGTATACAAAATATCACGCGCGTTTTTGAGAGAATCGCCTGCAAAAAATCGACTAAAACCAATAAACGCTAATTGACAGTTGATACAAGACAAAAAAATAATTCGAAAAAATTAAAGAAAAATAACTCGAAACTAAGCACTTCTTCTCCTGTACGACGACACTAAAAAATTAATTACTGAAACATCAAAAACCAAAAAAAAATGTTGGCACTCAAAGAGTTCTTTGAGGCTATCATTTGAACTATTTTGATGCCAACGTGTACCTAAATGTCATCGAAAATCTCTTAACAATCCCCATAATAAGAGATAACTGTTCCGTAAACTAATAGTTAGTTAAAAGTTTTACCTTAACTGGGAACCAAACTAAGAATAATTATTATGTAAATTTAATTTCCATGAACCTTATATTTTGAGTATTTTTCTGTATTGCTAAGAGATGTATCTAAATATTTAAACTAATGCCAATTAGGTACTCAATTTAGAATAATAAGACGATATCGCTCTTAAGGCTAGTGAAGGTCGGACCAGTTGTTGAAGTTGTTATTGTAATTTATCATAGTGGAATCGCTTGAAATTGTTAAGCTAATAATCTTACCAGAAAGGATACCCTTACCCTAGTCTCATCAGACTTGGACCGAGTTGGTGCTCCGCTGGCCTATTGAATTATGTAGCTAGGTCTGTGGATTTTGTACCAGATTTTCTTCTGGTTCAGAATAAAACACCAGAGGTTCATGGATGGGTTTGTGGTCAACAACATAAACTTTTGTCAGGCCGTGAAATGATTTTTGACCAAAATATAGATTTTTAGCTATCAGCTCTTAGCAAAGTCAATCATGCTGCAATTGTAGGTGTTCTGAATGTGCACTGTCTGCGTTTAAATATTTGAAAGAAGGTTCCGTTGAATCACTTAGACACTTTATCTTCTACTATACATCTTTTGCCTGACTGAGACTTAAAGATCTCAATATACATGCAACATAATAAATTTGTGATTAACATAAAAAGTGCCGATCTGCAAGGAGCCAGTGATTAAATTTAGCAGTTTTGGGTAACGCAAATACTGTTGTTTACCGCAGTATAAGTGAGATCTAGTGCTATGTTTTGCAGTAATATCACTCTACGACTTAATCTAACTTACCCTAATCAATGCCGTGAAGATACAATATTTGTAGTCGCAAATTTTCAAAGTTACATAAAGATATGAGAATAATCTAATG